AGGCTGGGAATCGACAACAGGAGAAATGCTGAGAGTTTGAATGTAGCCTGGATTACACAGCCCGACTGTCTGGAAAGGGAAACAAATGACCAAACAGAACTAAGCCTAGACATTTTGATAATGTAGGGGTTAAAGTAACTTGAGATAAGCAGACTTGAAGAAATCCAGGAAGAGCTTCAAGGAGCCACTCTCTTACCTGGCAGACAAGTGCTGGGAGAAAACAATGGCCCTCAAGAGGAATCTGTTGTTGGACCACTCACCACCTGGCCTCTTCTTGCCAGAGAATGGTACTGCCAGTAATAGCAATGGGGAAAACACATGGTGAAAGTGTGAGGAGACTCATTCTATGGTGAAATTCTAATTTAAAGGATATTTCAGGACAACACAGGGCCAGCAGCCGCAAACAAAGCTGTATGAAAAGCCAACAGCTCAAGTTTCAGCCTGAAAGGATAGCAGAAATGAGCTTGCACTTGCCTGGCCTGTTTGCGTAGTGTCTGAATGCATGCTGGGAAAGCCCAGGAGACTCTAACCCCAGTGAGAAGGGTAGACTTGAAAACAGCCTGATTAGTTCTCGTCTTTTATTTTACTCTTCTCTCTCCCTCTCTGTACCGCTATCTTCTTCCCTTCCTTCATCTTTCTGCCTGAGATGATTTGGTCTTACTGTGTGCTCAGGCTGCTCTCTAACTTGTAGTGATTGGTCCTCCTGCCTGCTGGGACTACCTACATGCCCATCAACACCTGTTTCTCTTCCTTACACTCCATGTTAAGCTTAAGGAACCCTTACACTTATTATAAACCCTAAATGTGAAAACGAGACTTAATAACACATTTTGTGTCTCTACCGGCATCTGTGTATAGCAGGTGAGTTTGCCGGCCTTCCTCACTCAAAGGACAATGGGAGTGAAAATCTTACCAGACTTCAGGGGGAACTGATCTTCAGAACTTCCTTACTCTTAATAAAATAATATTTGGCTGAGTGTGGTGGTGCATGCCTTTAATACCAGCACTCAGGAGGGAGAGTCAGATGGATCTCTGAGTTGGAAGCAAGCCTGGTCTACAGAGCAATTTCCAGGGCAGCCAGGGCTATGCAGAGAAACTGTCTGGATGAACCAACAAAAGACTGTATAGTCTCCTTAGGCTTATTGTATTTGTGATGGCTATTCTTTGTTGTCAGCTTGTCTATATCTGGAATGAACTGTGATCCAGAAATGGAGGGCACACTAGTGAAATATTTTTGCTTGGTTTGCAGTGGTTGGCTCAACTTCTTGTCTGGACCTTTGAGGTAAGAAGACACACACACCTTTTGTCCAGATCTTGAGGCCAGAAGACACATCTGGGCCACATCTTCTGCTAGGAGCCTATATAAAGACATGGAAAAAAGGAAGCTTTTGCTCTTTGCCTGCTTGCTCCTGCCTTTCTAGCAAACCATTCTTTCACTGGCATTAGAGTCTACTTCTTTGAGATTCCAGCATCTCCAGAAAAACACCTGAGACATCCAGCCTCGTGGGCTGAGCAATTTCTGGGTTCTTGGACTTCCTGCTCACTAGTTCTGCTGTTGTACAGAATCCTGACTAACACAGTACTGGGAGAAATATAAAGATCAAAAATAAGTAGGTGAATAAATAAATAAATAAATAAATAAATAAATAAATAAATAAATATCACTAGGGATATGATGTAAGAACACTTAAGAGGCATACACAAGGCACTAAAGTTCAGTCCCTAGCACTGGGAGAGAGAAAGAAACAGAGAGAGAGAGGGAAAAAAACTAGTTAAAATGGTTGTCAGGCATGGTAGTTCATACCTTTAATTCTAGCACTCAGGAGGTAGAAGCAGGTGGGTTTCTGCGAGCTCAAGGCCAGCCTGGTCTACAAGGTGAGGCCTGGACAGCCAAGGCTACACAGAGAAACCCTGTCTTGAAAAAACAAACAAAACAAAACACATGACATTCAGAAGACTTGAACTCTGCTGAAGACACAGTGAAAGTGACGGAAGATGCTACTACCAAGTCCAGCTGTCTACAAGAACAAAATGAAATAGGTGTGGTCAACAATACCTGAGATCCCAGCCCTTGGCAGTCAGAAACAGGAGGAACAGCCATGAGTTCGAGGCCATCCTGACCTTCATAGTGAATTCAAGGCCACTTAGTGAGATCCCGTCTCAGACATGCAGACACACACACACACACACACACACAGCACTCGGGGAGGCAGAGGCAGGATCGCTGTGAGCTCAAAGCCATCCTGGTCTACAAAGTCAGTTGAGGACAGCCAAGGCTACACAGAGAAATCCTGTCTCCTGTCCTGAAAACACTAAAAGTAATTAATAAAATAAATTTTAAAAAGCAAAACAAAGAAATTTAAAAAAACAAAAGAAAGAAAAGTCGTGTGGTGTCTCATATCTATAATCTCAGCATCCTGGAAGCTGAGGCAGGAGGTTTTCTACCAGCTGGCGACTAGACTCTATAGATAGTTCTAGGCCAGTCTGAGCTACAGAACAAGATTTTCATTCTCTCCCTCTCCATAAATAAATAAATAAATAAATAAATAAATAAATAAATAAATAAATAAATAAATAAATAAATAAATGGATGGATGGATAGATAGATAGATAGATAGATAGATAGATAGATAGATAGATAGATAGATCACTACAGTCGCACACACACACACACAAATCTATGTCCCTAACAACAAAACTTTAAAATACCTGTGGCAAGGAGTCAGGGGAGATACTCAGTTGGCGAAGGGCGTGCCTTGTGGGCATGAGGATGTGCTGTCAGTCCTTGGGACTCACACTGAAGCCAAGTGTGGTGCTGATGTCCTTGTGAACCCACAATGAGGGACTCAGACAGGTGGATGGATCCTTGGTTACCCCGCCAACCCTCCTTGATAAATTCTAGGCCACAGAGAGACCTTGTCTCAAGAAAAATTTGGATGGTGTCTGAGGAATGTCACCCAATGTGTCATCTGTACTCAGAAAGCAGCCAAATACACATGCCTGACACACATGAGCACATACGTGTATGTGTGACAAAAACTGACTGACTGGGACATTCATGGAACAATCCCACCACTAGACATGAAGATTTTAAAGCTCCTGTCTCAGTAGCTGGGTGAACAACCACACCAGGAAGGGGAAGGTACTGCAAGAGGGACCCTGTTATAACCCCAAAATCACAAACACCTTTTCAAAGTGAGCAGATGTGACAGACTTCTGTTTTTATCACTATACATTTAATTTTTGGCACAGAGCCTAACCCTGTAGACCCCAGGGGGCACAATTCCCCTGTCTCAGAGATGTTCTGCCTTCAGTGTTCTTAATTTCTCTACCTCCTAAAAGCACCCCAAGCTCTTCATGCCTGTCCAGGTAAGGTCCCTTCTCCTGCCATTCTCTTTACATCACATCAAAAATTGTCCCCTCTGCCTTGTTCCTTCATGATTTGTGCTGTAGATCTTAGCAGTCTGAGCTAGCAGATTGCTTGTTTATTGAGGCATTGTTCTGCTAATGGACTGAAATGATGGCATAAATAGGCCACAGCACTTTCATGTTTTCTCATCTTTCTTCAGAAGACATACATAATGCAAAACAGAAAAAAAAATGGTAGATAAAAGTAAGAAGTTTAGACTGTAAACTTGTTCTTTCGAACAAAAGAAACCTATCCGAGAGTTTTACACACACACACACACACACACACAAACACACACACATACACCCTTCCCAAGTCCTGGCTTCTGTTAGTACACACGGTCTTTTACTCTGTTTTATGAAGAAAAGACTAAGGCAGGCTGTTAGCCCCCGCCGCTCCTCATGAGATAGCTGGCTCTCCCCAGGTAGTGGAGTACAGCAGCTGTGCTGGCCTCTGCCTTGGGCTGTTCTGGCCTTGGGCTTTGGATGATATCAGACTCCTGTTCCATCCTGTCACCTTTTTTCCAGTCTCCTGGGGTTAGGTGGCCCCTCCTATTTCACAGGCCTGCTGTAGACACTGAATTAAATTTCTGTGAGCACACTTCATAAATGTGTGAGGCAAACATACATATTAAGGATGGGTGTGGGTTTTCTATTTAATTAGACCCTACTTAATGAGAGAAGGTGAAAGGCCCCACTTTCACCACTCTCCTCCTTGTTTTGGCTCCTTCCTGCTTCAGCCCTGCCCCTTCCCTTTTCTAGTGTCTACTTGGTGCTTTTTGGCTTTATGACTCATAGAAAAAGTCTTCTCTCTTCTAGAACACACTTTACCCTCTGTCTGATTTTGTTCTCAATCCTACACACTGAACCTAGGCCTGAAACATGATCGGTAAACCTTCTACCACAGGACGTCCAGCCCAGCCCAAATCCAAGGGCTTCTTCACTTTACTTAGCTTTTGATTTATTTTCGGTGCTGGGAAACAAGCCCAGGACCCTGAACACTCCAGGTATGTTCTGCCTGTGTGTTCTGTCCCTGACTGATATTGTATGAGTCGGAGCATAGTGTCTCATCTCCCAGAGCAGTGTCCAGAGCGTCTGACCATTGAATCTTATATAGCACAGCCATTGTCTGTTCTCCCATTAGGAGTTTAATATATGACTTATTTTAGATCTTTAGGTTCTTTGAATATCTTTTCCTTTCCATATAGCCCAGGCTGGCCTTAAACTCTCGGCCTTGATCATGTCGGCTCAGCCTCCTGAGTGCTGAGAATAGAAATATGAGCCATCATGTTCGCTAAGAAATTTGAGCTAACGTACTTGCTTAAGTCATTCCTCTGTCTCCTCATCACTCTAAGAAATAGACCCACCCCCAGTTCCCCAACACTGGAAGATACCTTGAAATCCACAAAGCTATACCGTACGGAGTATATACCTCAGATACGGAAGCAGAGAAATAAAATGAAAAGATGTTTATGAAAATAAAATTGATGGCTAACTGTGTTCATGTGTTAGGCTAGGCACAAGCAAGCAATTAAACAGTGCAGAATGTACCCAGCATGCCCCAGGACCCGAGTACATGGATCTAATAATACCTGAATCATCATTAGTCCAGAAGGTTCTTGGATCTGGCTTGGTCAGGATGTTGGCATGGTTACACGGTTCTTTCACCTTGAAAACATAAGGGGAAAACAAATGATGTAAAAATAAAGTCACCGTGTCACTGGTGCCAGGCCTACTGTCCTAGAGTAGGGATTCCAGAGTTAAGGCTTGTACATACAGCATGCTGTGCCCTAAACACATACTGGGGTGTTTAGGACTGCTGGTCACCCCAGGCCTAGAGGTGATAGCTCTAGGCTATCAGGCTGATAGCTACGTAAGCAACTGGGGGATAGAGTTTAATTTTTTCTCTCTCCCTCTGTCAGTACTATGCACAACTGTTGCAGCGGACCATAATGATGACATAAAAACTGTTTAAGATCTTTGCGTAACAGAAACTGTAGTTTTAGTAAACACTGCCTGTGAAAATGAGTATTAATGAGAACTTCAAAAGAAATTCTTCTAGCCTAGCATGGCGGCACATGCTTTTAATCAAAGCACTCAGGAGGCAGAAGTAGGAGGATCTCTGTGAGTCTGAAGCCAGCTTGGTCTACATAGTGAATTCCAGGCTAGTCAGGAGTACACAGTGAGACACTGTCTTTAACAATAATTAGTAAACAAAAATAAAATGAAAGAATTCTTCTTTTGTAACTTGTGAATGCTAACCTTAGATGTCCCGTTGGTGACTAGAATCAGCTGGGAGATGAGCCTCTGAGAATGCCTGCCAGGATATCTCTATTCAGTTCCTTGAAGTGTGAAGACCTGCCCACTGTGGGTGGGGTCATCCCCAAGGTTGGGATTCCGGTCTTCCAAAAATGAGGAAGTGAGCACAGGCAATTTTTTGTCTCTGCTTCTCCACTGGATACAATGCGGCCAGCTGCCCTCAGCTGGATACGGTGTGACCAATCCTGCTGCTCTGGCTTTCCCACCCTGCTGGACTATTCTTTCAAACTCTGAGCCTAAATAATCCCTTCCTCTCCCAAACAGCTTTTGTCTGACACCTTCTTGTAGTAACAACAACAAAGAGTAACTAAGACATAATTGCAGTAGAATCTTTGTATCCTGAAGTGATTTATATTGGTATATGTAATGCCTGCTATTTAATTTACAGACTCTAGTACAGATTGAATTAATATAATCCTAAATGTTTCCAAGTCTCTTTTGTTGAGACAGAGACTCACTAGGATTTCACCCTTGCAGTTATACTTCTGCCTTGGTTCTCCATTGCTTACAATATTTTCCAAGGAGCAGGGATGCACTTTTGGAAGCAATTTCATCCTATCATGATGTGTAGATTTCAAAAGCGTTTTTACTTAATGGGATAGATCTTAATGGTAAAATGAACTTTCCACTTCTATGTATTTTGTAGTGCGGTCATCTAATTGCCACGGGAAATCTCTAGCCTCGTTAAGTACCCAACAGACAGATTGGTTCCATTGCAATAATAAAGTTCTCAGCAGTGTCACTGAGGCTATTGTTCAATTCTTCAGACTTTTTTTTTTTTTTTTTTTTCTGTAAGAAGAGTTACTTGAGTCAGCAAGATGGCTCCGTGGGTCCCGGATGCACAAACCACACAGTGTAAGAAGAAAGCTGGCTCCTGGAAGTTGTCCTCTTATCTCTAACAGGGAATGTGGCATGTGCACACACACTCACACACGCATCATCATGATAAATAAATATTTAAAAAGAAGGTTCTTCGACGAAGGAGACGATATACTAATGTGTCATGTAGAGCGCGTTCCTTCTCGGAGGATTCACAGTAAGTCACATGGAAATGAGGGTGTGGGAGTCTTTGTGCTCTAGTCTCCGTCACTGCAACACTACTCACGGCAGTCAAGGTGGCACAGCAAACCCAGTGTCTATGAATGGATGAATAGAGAAAGGGCATGTAGTGTGTACTTACAGTGGAATATTATTTGGCCTTTGAAAACAAGGAAATCCTGTCAGAGGCAACAATATAAATGAGCCTTAAGGACTTTGTGCTGAGTGAAATAAGGCTCAGAAGGGCACACTGTTCATAAACCTGCTTCTAGGGAGTGAACACATGAGTCAAACACATAGAATCAGGGAGCAGATTTGTGGTGTCTGAGGCTGGGGAGATTGGGAAACAAGGGTTGCAAACTTTCAGTTGTTCAAGATGGTTAGGCTTTAGAGAACTTTTGTACCACACTACGCTTGCAGTTAATATTGTTGTATTATTGTACAGTATCCACTTAAATATCGCGCTTATTACAGTTTTCAAAAATCTGAAAAATCCAGGACAGCCAGAACTACACAGAGAAACCCTGTCTCAAAAAGCCAAAAAAAAAAAAAAAAAAAAATAGAAAGATCTGGAAAAAGATTACTATGCTATATCTCTGAACATATCAGATATGATGCATATTTGATTTATTTGATGGATAAGTATTCTAAATAAATGTATGGAAATAGCCGGTAACTGTAATACAGTTTTTCATTTTTAGGAAACATGATCTTAGATATGAAAATGTTATTAAAATTTAAACAGTGAGACTCGGGGGTCCAGGGCTTGACTAAAATGTTGCATGAGATGCTAGGATTAAGCTTCAGTACTGAGGGAGGGAGGAACAATTTCAAGAAAAAGAAGAAAGCATGAACTAGAACCTTCCCATGCCCACATTTTGAGGTGCATATAACATCCCTCACATAAAGCAAACTGTTCCTTGTGAGAGGCTTCCTACCTTTAGAGCCTTCTTTACAGGGTGCACTGAGATCTGGGGCTTCGAAGATTTGCTCCCCGGTTCGGTTCACGGTTATTTGCTTTGTTTGATTGTGTCAGTCTCTTGCTGTGTTGCTCAGGCTGGCCTTGAACTCCTGCCTCCACCTCTTTAAAGTGCTGGGGTTACGGCTGCACACTACCCACACCACAGCCTGTGTCCCCCTGAGCTACACAGCATCTACTTCTTTCTCTTCCGTGTAGCAAACACCTCAAATATTTGAAATTCATTGTTCTACCCCATGATAGCCTAACATTTCCGGGTTGATAGGCCCTCTTCCTTTCATAGTTCCCAGCAAATGGTGCTAAGTCCCTTAGTGAGGTCACTGCCTTAGAAGATGTCCTTTCTGCAATATGAACTTGTCCTTGAGAGCACCCGGTTAAGGGCCAAATAGTCCCTGAAATAAGGTGCTAATTTTGAAAGATAGCTCTCAGGTAAGACCACCTACATTCTATCCATCCATGAGTAATTAAAATAGCCTAATGGACAGATAAACTTTAAAAGAGTAAAGAAAAATAGTCTATGATTTTTGCCACCTTTTACCCCTTTATTGTAAACGTTCTCATTCTTTAAAAAACTATATGATGATGAAGAAATACCATATACACACTGTCTTTCTACGCTGAAACTTGTGCCTGCCTGTGGCCTGGGTGACCTTTATACAAGAATGCAGCCCTTTGGGAGCTCACTTGCTTCTGATCGACTCCACATCACCATTTGCTTTGAAGACGTCTTTTACGTGGGAGCACTTCCTGTTTGTGTCAGAGCCATCAAGATTCCCTTGTTCTTGTGCTTGGCCCGTGAGTGTGAGGGGCCATTCTTCAGGACGCCTACCAGTGCTGTTCAAGGATGAATTCATGAATCATTACAGCCTCTGTCAGGGTTAACTGGCTATGCCCTGCAGCTGTAGATCCTTCACAGAGGTGAGAAAGTTCATTATTGTGGATCCTGCTGAGTGTTCCCAGGATACCTGTCTCTGAAGTCAAGTCAAAACCAAAGACATGTACAGTGCCTGGGACTTCAGTCCTCTAAGGGGCAATTTGGTTCTTTTGAATAAATATTTAAGAAGATTTCCTCAGTAGGATTTCCACTCTGAGGGTGACCAAGAGGGGAACATTACTACAGCATGGAATTCTTCAATGTGCTATTGAGAAAACTTGCAAAGATATCCCTACATTAGTTTTCTAACCCCGTATTTACCAACCACCCAGTTTAGACAGTTATCAACACCTAGCCATCGATTTAATCTCTGCTGCCAGTTATTTATCCAGTCAGTTAATTGTTAATTAGTTGTTGTATAGCCCACGCTGTCCTTGAACTCATGATCCTCTTCTCAAGGCCTGGGACTGCCTGCAACCATGCCCAGTTGATGTGGTGCTAGGAATCAAACCAAGGCTCTCAAGCATGCTAGGCAGGCCTTCTACCGGCTGAGTTATAACCTAGAAACCCAGACTTCCTGTCTTTTTATTTCATTTTATTTTTTGTACCAAGAACTGTGAGAACTGAACGCACACCTTCACATAAGGTAAGAATGTGCTACAACACTGAGCTAGACTCCCACACCTGTTTCTAAAACACATGTTTTGTTTTAGGACAGAGTCTTGCTAAGATGACAAGGCTGGCCTTGAACCAGTCCTGTAACTCAGGTAGGATAAATTTTTTAATGTTTAGTACCACAGATATGAAGCCTACATGCATCACTTTGGTATTTATACATTAGAAGAAGAAGGACATCAGAGCATCGTATTTCAGGAGAGGTCAGTGTCTAAAATTCTTAAAAAAAAAAAAAAAAAACCTCTCAGAAGTAAACCTGGGAATAAATTGTTACTAGAACTACTGACAGGACAAAAGGTCAATTCTGTAAAATGCCCCGAGTCAATGCGATGTTCAGAGGAGGAGAGAATGTGGGAAAGAAAGTCATTATGGTCATTTTTCTCTTTATCTGTACTTGAAGAACATTGGTCCAAAAAAGATATATATGTGTGTGTGTAATGTTATAAATCACTCATGATGTTGATATGTAAAAAGCTAAGTAGGATTATCCCAATTTTATTCATGACTTACTCATAATTATTCCATAAATATGGAATTTTTGGATTTTTTAAAATTTTTTAATAATTTCTTATTCAATAAACAGGAAGAGTTCCAGAGCTTCCCGTAAATCAGTTAAGTAGCTTATACTAAAATCATTATTTTGTCTTAATCTATGACAGAGGTTTCCAAAATACTTGTCTAACTATCTAAAGATGTTGTTTTTCTTCCACTTCAAGGTCCATGATCAATGCTGTAAATGAGCCAGGCTACACTTTAATCCTAGCACTTGAGAGGCAGAAGAAG